ATTTTCTATACCAACTTGTGGTTAGGGTGTTGTCTCCCATTCTGATGACACGCATGTCAAGGAAGGGTATACTATTGGTGGTAGTGTCCTCAAGTTCAACAGTGAACTGTAAATGAGGATCAAACTCATTAAAGTGGGATAGGGTACCCTGAACCTTGTCAGGTGGTAGGGCTAATAATAAATCATCCACATACCTTTTAATAAAAGGGATTTGAAAATCCAAAAGACCTAAACGGTCAGAAACCAAATCATCCAATACGAAGTTAACTAGGATGGGAGAGATTGAGGAACCCATAGGTGTACCAAATGTTTGAAGGTAAAATTTGTCATCAAAGACCAAAAAATTAGTGTCAAAAACAAGTTGCAACAGTTCTGCAAATATATCCCAAGACACCGGGCAGTTAGGTTTAATAGAATTCCAATGGTTTTTTAAGGAAGTGATTACACTGAACTCACCACTCGTCTGAGTGATCCTTATATATATATATATATATATATATAACACTGTTTTTGATGGGTTGGAGTCAATAAAAGGGGCTATTTGTTGACTATTTTTTACTCGAGCTTTCATTGTGATTACAATTTTTATCAAGAGCTTCTAAAAAATACAAAATGTCTTACAAAGTTGAACTAGAAATAAAAAATTTTTTGTTAACTTACCAAATAAAATTAGTTTTTTATATAAAACTACTGCTTACATAATAAATACAAAAAATATTAATAAAAAAAAATGCCTTATTCTAATAAATGTTTCTCTGAAAAATTTAGATGAAGTTTCTTAAGAAAAAATTGAATTTATAAACAAAAATAGAATAGCTACAACCAGCCTAAAATGACATAAATACTAACTTAAAAATTTTTATTTTTGACATATTGTCAAAAATAAAATTTTGTTTAAAAAATTTTAAGTTAAGTAACTTTGTTAAGTAACAAAAAAGAAGAAGATTTATTCACCATTGATAGATGCCCGAAAAAATGTAACAAATACATGGAAAATTCAAAATGTGATATTTTACTGACTGCATAAATTAAATAGAAATTATATAATTATACATTTTGCTTAAATTTTGAATTTCTGACCTTTTGTTTAAATTATTATCACTTTTGCTAATACAAACCATTTCCAAAAAAGTTCTTTTAAATTTATTACTTTCATTACATAAAATTTTAATATTATCAAAATCCATAATATGGTCTTTGTCTATTACATGCTCTGCCAAAGCACAAGATGGTTTCTTAATTCTACAATCACTCTTGTGAGAAATAATGCGATTTGAGAGATTTCTTCCAGTCTCACCAATATACTCAGCTTCACACTGAGTACAAACAATGCTGTATACTACATTTGTTTGATCTAATTTGTCTATAGGATATTTAGTTTTGGAATATAAAGATGAAATAGTTTTGATGTTCTTTGTTGCTATTTTTATATTGTCAATAACCTTTAATGTTTGTATTAATTTAGGAGTTAATGATGGTATAAAAGGTAGTGAATGATAATATATGTTAATAATCAAAAATAAAAATTTTTAAGTTAGTATTTATGTCATTTTAGGCTAGTTGTAGCTATTCTATTTTTGTTTATAAATTCAATTTTTTCTTAAGAAACTTCATCTAAATTTTTCAGAGAAACATTTATTAGAATAAGGCATTTTTTTTTAATAATATTTTTTGTATTTATTATGTAAGCAGTAGTTTTATATAAAAAACTAATTTTATTTGGTAAGTTAACAAAAAATTTTTTATTTCTAGTTCAACTTTGTAAGACATTTTGTATTTTTTAGAAGCTCTTGATAAAAATTGTAATCACAATTGAAAGCTCGAGTAAAAAATAGTCAACAAATAGCCCCTTTTATTGACTCCAACCCATCAAAAACAGTGTTATATTTTTTCCAAACGAGTCACAAGTACTTCTTTTTTCTTACTCTTATATATATATATATATATATATATATATATAATATATATATATATATATATATATAATATATATATATATATACTGGATTGACGGTCGTACTCCTTTTTCCGATATATATATATATATATATATATATATAATATATATATATATATATATATATATAATATATATATATATGTGAAATGAATGGGTACGTATTCTTTAATCCTTATTTTAATTGCATTGTAAAATAGTGCGATATTACATCTACATCTACGGTTAATATATTTCATTATATGGAGGAGGAGGTCGTTTAAAATTTCCTAAGCTTGAAGGGGGTCGCTATATAAAAAAGTTTAAGAAGCCCTGGTTTCATTTTTAGGTCCTAATTTCACTCATCAGTAAGACATTGGTCCGAAGTCTATTGATTTCTTCGCCTTCTGGTTTATTGATTTTTTCTTTTTGGACCAGTCGTTTTCATAAAGTTTCCACGCCAGACCTGGATCCTAACTTAATGTTCCGGTTGCAGATTTCTCACTATCCAGCCCAGAAATGAGATCACTTATTGACATTCGGATGGCATAGTGTCAGAGGTTCATTTATTTGTACTTTTAGGATGGTTTAGTTAAGAATAACAATGCAGTGGATTTCACTGTTCTTCTATTTCGCAGTATATGAGACAGCATAAGTGTTGTCCTTGTGCCTCATAATTTCCAGCGTTGAGTCGGTTCAGAATTAATTATCAGACGACTAAAATTAGTACCAAACACGCTTCTATCCAGATGGATATCAGCTAGGTCAATCAAACTCTGGTTTTTATAAAGGTGATAATCCTATGTCACTGTTCTTTTTATTAGTCACTAGCAAAGCTATATGTTGTGCGGATGTGTGGTTAGAGTTACTGAATCAGTGTATTCGAAAATTTTACTTAAAGATATAAAACTAAAGAAATGTAAATAATAGATAGCTGCAAGATTATTATGTATCTAGCACTTGTCCTGTAGAATAACTTCGTTAAGTTACGACAATAATAAGCAATTTTGAAACACAAAAATAGCGTGCGGCATCTCTCCCATTGTTGTGGGATGCCGCTAGTAAGCCTGGGTGAAGTGCTGCATATCTTTTTTAAATGTTTTTGGTTAATACCAAACTATAATTATTTTAAAAAGCAGCAGCAGCTAAAAGTAATTAAATTAATTTATTACGCAGTTTTAAATACCATTAATATATATATATTTGTTTTGTTGAAGAAAATGCCAACTTATTATAAAAGAGTATCAAATAGAGGTTCGTGGACCAAAACTAATTTGAATGCTGCCATAAATCTTATACAGAACCAAAATGTCAGTATCCGATCAGATGCAAAGTCGACCGGTGTTCCCGAAAAAACCTTAAGAAATAGAATAGCAAAAAACAATTTTTTAAAGCAATCAATCGGTCTTGCACCATTGCTTGTTATGAAGCAGATCGAAAATTGGTCCAACACATTAATGCATTACAAACTCGTGGATTTGCGCCTACAAGAAGAGCTGTAAGGAAAATAGCCTTTTACCTTGCCGAGGCGATCAGTATAAAGCACAACTTTAATAAAGCAAAAAGAATTGCTGGTGCAGATTGGTTTAAGTCTTTTATGAGAAGGAATGGTACTATTTTGGTTCGCAAAGCTCAAGGATTATCCAATGCTCGAGCAGAAGGCATGAACAAGAAGGAATGCAAGGAATACTTCCAGCTCTAACATGAAACGTTAACTGAACACCACCTTACAAAAAACGTGGTAGCATCTAGAACGTAGACGAATCAGGCCTACAACTAAATAATGAACCTGGCATTGTTGTGGCTAAAAAAGGCAGCGAGGTACATGTCAAACAATCAACGGAAAGAGGAGAGCCGGTAACAGTGGTAGCTTGCGCGAATGCTGAAGGTGCCTTCTTACCTCCTTTTTGTATTCTTAAAGGTGTCAAAAACCAATAAATTTGGCAAGAATTAATGCCCGCAGGAGCGGCTATCGAAATGAGAAAGGAATCAGCCTACATTGATGAAAATATATTCATAAAGTGGTTTCGAGATCACTTTTTACCACGAAAACCACCGGGCAAGTGTTTGTTACTTTTAGATGGTCATGGCTCACATACGAACTTTCCCGATATTTTGACATGTGCTTCCAGTAATGATATTGTACTTCTATGTCTACCAAGCCACACCACGCATTATTTACAACCACTCGACAGGTCCTTTTTTAAGCCCTTAAAGGCCCACTACAGACACGCAGCAAGCGAGTGATGAAACGCTAATCCTGGAAAGAAATTGGAGAGGCGTCATTTCGGAGAACTGCTTGCTCAAGCTTGGTCAAAATCTGCAACTGTGCAGACAGGTATTTCAGGATTCAGGGCATGTAGAGTCTACCCTTTTAAACCTTCAGCTATTCCTGAAGACGCATTTCTCGCAAGAACAGACTATGATTTCGCACCATCTGACCAAAAATCAAATGATGAAGACGAAATTCCTGTCCCAGCAACCAGTTCTGATCCTTCTTCTGTCACTGATCCTTCCACTGTCACTGATCGTTCCGCTATCACTCATGCAACACTCGAAGAAGCATTTGCAAACCAAGACGTAGCCACTGAGAATTTCTTAATGGGTAAAGAAGATTTGACCACACCATCGACCTCTAAAGAAGTCACTACAATCATCGTCACGCCCATAAAAGATAACTTGCCGTGTTTGCGGGGGAAGTCAGCTCCGACAAAATTCCTTCTCGAGGTTTCCCCAATTCTCACACCTATTTCAAGGAAGCCATCTCCAAGAAAACAGTCAGCTCAGGTGTTAATCTCGTCAGAAGTTACAGCTGACAAAACCTAGAAACGCTTGGCTCTTGTTGAGAGTCTTAAACAGATCAATTAAAAATATCACAGGATATTGTACAATGAAGAAACCAGGATAATGGAAATGGAACTCGAACATTATAGGAGGTGACTGGTCTGACTGGAAAATATTTAGATCTTCACAACATCACAAATACAACTATTCTTTTTAGATCGAAAAACAACAACGGTCTCGAAGCACATACAAAAATAAAAAAAAAGAAGCTTATACATACCTAATCTTTTCATTGTAGTTGTGTGTGTAAATACTTCAAAAAATTTTCCGGCCAATGTTCGAAGAGGCTCGGGATATACAGATTTAGTCCAAGTTGGTAAACCGAATGCAACAGAATCTTCTCCTTTTAAAGGATCCCATATACCATGTACGTCTGACATGCCCGTTACATTACTTCCACTATTACTCGTTAAGTATTTATATAATTCAGAATTTTCTAAGTCGTATGTTGCAAACTCTTGGCTATTTAACACACTTGATAATTCTTTAGTGTAAGCTGGACAATTCTCTGGAAATAATGAGGAGGAAACAATAGCATTATTAGCAGGGTGAACAGGTATGGGTTGCCAATTTATCTTGTTTTGCCACTGTTGGTCTCCTGTTGACACAGGAAATAAACCGTAAAGATTACTTTGTGCAGACATGTGCGTACGATCTACATCTGTGGTCTGTGCATAAAAAAAGGACGGGTCATACTTTTTAGGTATGAAATTTGAGTATCTACTTCTTGTGAATTGACCTAGTTTCATATGCTGTCTTTTTCCTTCCTAAAAATAAAAACCATTGATTTAAACTAGACATTAAATGGGTATACTTTTTAATTTTATTTTTAATGTTTTACAAAATCCTTCTGTATCAACTTCTTTGTTACAAAAGTCTTTGTCAACATCACCGCCATCTATCCGTAATTAAAAATATTAGTAAGTCTTGTGTGTTTAAAAGAGGTAAGCTAAACCTTGCAAGTCTTTTTAACTGTACTCTACATTAATACAGTAGGATATACCACATGGTTTAGCTAAATTTTTAAAATGCACTGTTTGTTAAAGAGAACTCTGAGTTAGTACACAGCCTAATACTACTATTTCTGGACTCACACAAGGATTACCATTAGGTACAACGCTTAATAACATATTGTACCTACTTAATACACTATGTGTTCATAAAAAATGTTAAAGTCATACAATATGCTGACGATTTTGTAATTCTAGTCAAGGGAGTGAACGTAGTAAATATGATATCAAAAATAAACGAATATTAAACCATTCCTCCCGTGCTTTTTTTGGAAATCCGTGAAAAGTTTACAAGATGTTACGTGTGGTCTGTACTTTTGTATGGATGTGAAACTTGAACTTTAAATGCCGATATCGTGAATAAAATCGAGGCGTTTGAGATGTGGTTGTATCGAAGAATACTAAAAATTCCATGGACTAGCAGAACCAGAAACGAAGAAGTTCTTCGAAGAATGGGACATTAACGAACTCTATTAAATATTATTAAAAGGCGTAAACTAGAATATCTTGGATATATAATCAGAGGACCAAGATATGAGTTCCTTCGGCTAATTCTCAACGGTAAAATCGAAGGAAAGACATGGATAGGACGGAAGAAACTCTCTTGGTTGAGGAATTTGCGGCAGTGGACAGGTTTGACAGCGGACCAATTGCTACACGTAGCCCGACACCGAGATCAGTATAATAATACTATAAGCATGGTAGTCGCCGACGTTCCGTAGGGATATGGCACACTAAGAAGAAGAAACCATTCTTGAGGTATGACTGGACCATTATAATTTGAATATTTCTGCGGACATATCTATAGCTATCCTATCGCAAAGAGTAATACCAAAATGAAGCCCGGAAATATCAGTTATTAGAGAGAACCTGTAAAGTGGGTAGGTAAAATTAAATTAAGGAATGGTTTTTTTATAAGAAAGTTAAACGGTACACACACATTAACCAGCTGGAAGTCTAAGTAGGCAAAGCACTTAAATATGTAATACATACCTTGCATGAAACTTGGTGAGTCTGTGACCCAACAATATTAAAAATGATTTATAAAGTACTTATTTGAAGTCATTTAAACTGTGGGGGTAAATTTCTAGTTACATGGCCTAATTATATCCTAAAGAATCTAGATCGGATAGACTGCCAAAGTATCCGGATTATCACAGAATGCATTAAGTCAACTCCAATCTAGGACTTGTTGTGAAAGTTGATAAATAAAATAACTATACTGTCGATTTGTAAAGTTTATTAAACAATAATTATTAGCCTGAGAAACTGAGAATATTAATTAAACATGTGTAACCGTTTTTACATATTTGAGAACATTGACATAACCTTAAAACTTAATTCTTCTTTTTCTTATATCTTCAATATTACATTAGTGCTGGAGCTTATATTATCAAAAGTCTAAAGAACTGCCACTAAAATAGAGAAGAGAATGGCTCACAACAAAGTTTTTGTTTAAAAACCTAAGTTTTGAAAGTAACCCTGGCATACAATCAATAATTGAATTAAAAGCATTTTGTAATATACACAAAATATAGACAATAAATACTGGAGAAATCAGAAACAAGCCCATATTGATAACAACTCTTAGAAAAAACAAACCTTTCAAATTTTCTACACTACTTAAATAAAGAGATTAGGTCAAACTGGGCAGCTGAATGGTGTAAAGGATATGGTAAAATAATTTATACGTTTACGTATTTATATAAAGGCAGCTAAACTGAAATTGAAATGGGCTGGACATAACGAACGTCTTACAGATGGTCGATGGAATAAAGAAATCCGGAATTGGCGGCCATGTGAAGCCAAAATACCACGACGAAGACCGCAAATGCGCTGAAGCGATGATATTAAAAGTGCTTTAGGGCCAATGTTTGATTCTGTAGAGTTTGAAACAATACTGAAAGCCTTAAATCAAAGTATACAAAGAATAGATTAGAGGTACACGACACTAATCAAAAACATATATGAGAATGCTACATCAAGTATACGGCTACACGAAGACACAGAAAAATTCAGCTTAGGTCGACGAGTTAGACAAGGAGACAATATTTCACCAAAATTGTTCAGGGCAGCTCTAGAGTCAATATTTAAGAGCACTTAATGGCAAGATATGAACATCAATATAGATGGAGAAAGATTAAATCAGCTAAGATTTGCAGATGATGTTGTATTAATCGCAGATAATTTACATGATACAGTTTCTATAATGCGTTCGCTTAAAAGTCTGTCTAAAAGATAAGGATTAAAAATAAACTTTGAGAAAACTAAACTTATAACAAATCTCTTAATGAGTGGAGATATAACTATTGACAATAACACCATACAACAAACAGACACTTACAAATATCTGGGACAAGAAGTCAAAATAAGCAGAGACAATCAAACACATGAAATACAGAATCGAATAGGCCTAACATGGGCAGCATTTGGCAAATTAAGCCATATTCTAAAAAGTTCAATTCCCATGTGTCTCAAGCGAAAGGTTTATAAGCAATGTGTTTTACCTGTACAAATTATGGAGCAGAGACTTTAACACTCACGAAAAAATCTGCGAATAAACTCAGAGTTACACGACGAGCCATGGAACGTGCAATGCTGAACGTGAACCTTCCAGACCACATAACAAACCAAATAATCATGCAAAGATCAGGAGTTCAAGACGTCGTCGAAATAACCACGACGCTTAAGTGGAACTGGGCAGGGCACTTAGCCAGAACACAAGATAGACGGTGGACAAGACGTAATATAGAATAGAGGCCGAGAAACTATAAAAGAAGCTGAGGACGACCAACGAATTGATGGACCGATGATATAAAACGTGTAGCGGGAAACTGGCTACAAGCGGCATAGTGCAGAGAACACTGGAAAGAACTGAGGGAGGCCTATGTCCAGCAGTGGACGCGATTGATTTATGATGATGAGAGCCAATGTGGAAACATCTTACAAACAACAGAGATAAGTGACGAAAATTAGGAGAGGTCTATATTCGGAATCGGCCAATCCGAATATGGTAAAGGGCTTAAAAAAATCCGTATGAGAACAAACAATTGCTTATTATCTTTTTGTCTATTCTAAATTGGAGTTAAAGATGATCCTTTTTGCGAATGTGGCCAAGTAGGAGACTTAAATTATATTAAATCAAGAATGTCGCTATAATCAAAACCTTCATTTAGATTTGTATTCCCAATTAGCAAAAACTAAACTTCCCACTCCCATTAATAATATTTGCACCATCCTTACAAATATTATTTAAAATACAATAAATACCTTATGTAATTGTATTTCTACCTTTAATGTTAAATTATAAACTATGATCTTCTTCGTTCTTTCTTACGAGTTACTAGTAGTTAAAATCGTATACGCTAAGCGCACACACATCGAATTTGGACGGTCGATAAAAGTTCGATCGAACAAATTCCTTTGGTGGCGCGAAGAAACAAATGTGAGCGGGCACACACATCGATAGACAAACGGCACGGCATCGATGTCGTGTGATGGTCGTGTGGCGATCGTGCATTCACGGCTGCCGTGGTCGTTGCCGTCGTTCCAAGGCGTATAGTATCAAATGAACGCGCGCACACACATCGATCTTTATCGATTGACCAGAGGACCAGTTGCGTTTTTTGACACTGCTCAAGGTACGTCGCTCCGTGTTGCTACGTGGTTCTGTGTTGCTCATTGTGATTTTGTGTACTCCACCTAACAAACCTTTGCGGATTAAAAACGTCATCGAATAAATATTTTAGGCATTCTGGACGAAACGTATTTTAATAATGATGGAGCCGTCTCTCTTTGAGACATTTTTTTCTTTCCTTTACTTTCATTCTTTTCTTCTTAATGGATAATAATATTTTACTCAAAGCTGCACGGGATACTGTTACAGCATTCCTGAAGCAGGCGTATTTTGGTATTCTAACTGAGCAGGTGCAATCTAATTTATTTCTTAGAGATGGTCCCCTACTGATAATTAAAAATGTTACACCGGGAGCCGTAGCCTATGAGACTCCTGAGGAATCAATTTCAATTCCTGGTGATGGCCCCGTAGTTGAGGGTAAATACAAGAAACGTTATCCGATAAGACCCCGAAAAAATCAATTTTAGTTCCTCATGATGGTCCAGTATTAGTATAAACTATCATACCAGAAGCCTTGCCCTATGAAACTTTGCAATACGCTTTCGATGAGAGTTTCAAAGACTTTTCCTCAGACACAACTATTGCTCGAAAAGTAATAAAAAAGTTTATTCAAGACCGGTCCACAAATATTTGTTAATGTATTTTATTTTTTCGTTTATATTTCTTTTTAATTCCGCTATTACATTATTTAAATTTACAAGTTCTTCTATAGCTTTGTTAAGACCAGATAATTTCTGGGCTAAAGGTTTATTGCTTTTAACCCTAACCCTAGCCCTATACCAATAAAATAAACACATTTAATATAGAGAAACATGTACCTGCATTTTTCTTTAATTTATTCCCAGTTTTGTGGGCTGCTGCTAAATATATTGTAAAGATTTTGCACAATTTCGAAATAACTTGTTACTTCAGGTCAAGATTCTGCTATATGTACTCCATATAAATTCAATATGTGACAGACACATGGGGAAAACAAAGCTTTCGAATTAACCTGTAATATGCGTGGTTGAACACCTTTGTATATTCCGCTTACATTGCTACGATTATCATAATCTTGATCACTACAATCGCTAATCGAACTATAGTTGTTTTCGAGAATATTTGTAATTAAATTGGCTATTGCATTTCCGGTGTTCTCTAAATAATTAACAAATTCTAAGATTCGTCCGGGCACTTTATATACCTTGTCATGAATATATATATATATATATATATATATATATATATATAGATTCGTCCGGGCACTTTATATACCTTGTCATGAATATATATATATATATATATATATATATATATTTATATATATATATATAATATATATATATATATATATATATATATATATATATATATATATATATATATATATTTATATACAGACAGTTGAAGGTAACCGGGAACGACCTAATACTAAGCAAAAAAAAAACGGGTGCTTCAAAGTGAGTGTCTTTTATTAAAAGTCAAGCTTTCACCCAATAATTTTGGGCGTCATCAGAACTTGCTTAACGTTGACACTATCTCTTAGTTTATAATATTATCGATGTGCAACTACACATTGTTTTTAAATACAAACCAATCGCATCCCCCAGCTAGAGGTAAATGGCAAACAAAGCTTTAATTAATTCTATTTAATATAACCCTGTGGCTCGCATTTTTGACAAGACAATTCTTTATAAAAACTAGATAAGTCAGTTCTATTAGTTTATCTAATACTGCTTTTTTTGTTTAAGTATCTCTTCACCCTCGGTTCTAGTCTCATCACCATCATCATTCTGCAACATCTTGCATCTAAATTTGGATATAGGTCTCCTTCATATTCTTCCATTGTTCTTTATCTTGTGCCATCTGTATCGAATATCCCACTGTTTTTCTCAAGTCATTTATCCACCTTTTTGGTGGTCTACCTCGGTGTCTTTTAATCTTCTCTAGGTCTCCATTTTAGAGTCTTTGGTCCACCTATTATCATTTAAACGTGCTACATATCCAGCCCATCTCCATTTAGCTTGTGCAATTTTTTCTATGACATCTGTAACTTTAGTTCTCGCTCTCTCTCTCTCTGTCATCTCGTGAGAGGTTGTTGGACGTTCATCGGGCGCCTCCCCAGATGGCGGGTAGAATAATGCCTCCTAGATATAGGTGGTACCGGGAAAATGAAATAGTGAAATCACAAAGTGATCGGCTGCAATCAGTATCGACCCAGAGTGGGCAGCTGAATCGAAACTCAACAAACCCGTTTTACCAGGAGTGATGTTTTAATCGCCAAGAAACTCTCAATGAAATGTCGAAGATTTAGAATTAAAATACTATAAGCAAGCGGAACGAATTGCATTTAGTATAAGTGCCTAAAAAACTGTTTTCAAGTTATTAGAGCCCTAAACTCTACATTTTATAACTTTGCATTTCATCTGCACAAGAAATTAAAAGAGGTCGCTGGAAACAAACGGAAACAAGTATCCCAAAGTTTAGAAGACAGAAACGGACGCAGAATATTAGACATCAATGAACAGTTAAAAGAATGGATAAACTACATTTCTGAATTATCTGAAGATGAGAAAGAAGAACACTATACACCGATTGCTATATCAGGTCCATCTATAACACAAAGTGAGGTTACACGTTCAATAAAAACAGCAAAAAATGGAAAATCACTTAGCCCCGATGAAGTAAGTGCTGAAATACTAAAGTTTTTTTAGAGAAAATAAAATTAAAGCTCTGTGTAATCTCTTTAACAGAATTTATGACACTGGGATACTACCAACTGATTGGTTATAGTCGACATTTGTCACAATACCTAAGAAACATCGTCCAAAGACATGCGGTAAGTATCGGATAATAACTCTGATGAGTCACGTTTTGAATATCTCCCTGCGAGTAATACACAGCAGATTTTACACGCTATTAGAGGACAGAATTAGCAATACTCAATTTGGGTTTAGGACTATCTTGGGTACACGAGAAGCCTTGTTTAGCATACAGGTGCTAGTACAGAGATGCAGAGATATAAATCAAAATGTGTACATTTGTGCAATCGATTTTGAAAAGGCTTTTGACAAAGTCCGACATAACATAATGCTACAAATATTGGAAACAGCTGGATTGGACGATAAAGATCTACTAATAATGACAAATCTATACTGGCATCAAATAACAAGAATAAAGGTTAAACAAAAACTGTCGGATGAAATAAATATAAAAAGAGGAGTGAGACAAGGCTGTATATTGTTGCCTTTACTTTTTAACTTATATTTAAAGGAAATATTTAAGAAAGCCTTAATGGAGACAACCGAAGGTATTATTGTGAATGAAGTAACCGTCAACAATATGGGATATGCTGACGATACCTTAGTCCTTGTTAATTACGGAGAAGACCTTTAAAATCTAATGAACAAAATAAAACAGACTTGTGATCAGTATGGATTAAAACTCAATGTTAAGAAAACTACATATATGATAGTTAGCCAACAAAATTAGATACGGGATGACGGTATAAAAGTCGGAGATGCCAGACTGGACAGAGTAGAGAAACTCGTGTATCTCGGCAGTAATATCAATGCGAGCTGGAATTAAACCGCAGAAATTAATGGCCAAATAGAACAAGCCCGAGCTCCCTTTGTAAAAATGAGAAACGTAGTTTGCAGTCACGATCTTAGCATTGACCTTAGAGTTCGAATTATATCTTGCTACATCTTTCCTGTCTTGCTGTATGGAGTGGAAGCGTGGACTCTAACTAAGGCTATTCTTAAACGCTTGACAACCTTTGAGATGTGGTTATACAGACGACTACTGAAAATAAGCCGGGTCGACAGAGTTAGAAATGAGGAGGTCCTTAGACAGCTGAACCAAAAAACACAACTGGTTAATATAATAAAGAAACGCAAGCTAGAATACTTCGGTCACATTATGAGACACCCTGAAAAATATGCTCTTCTATAATTAATTATTCAGGGAAAGATCCAAGGTAATCGTGGTCCTGGTAGACGAAGAACATCATGGCTGAAAAATCTAAGGCAATGGTATGGAAAATCAACTACATCGTTATTTAGAGCTGCTGTCAATAACGTCACGATAGCGAATATGGTAGCCAATATGGAACTAGAAAAAGAAGAAGATGATACCAGTATTACTTGGAGGAACACTAATGTTGCCACTATTCAAGCAATTATAATTTCTGATCTACTTAAAACAAAAACTTGGTCCGACTCTACTTTACTCTCTTTTAACGTGGATGAGACAGTAGCATAATCCTATAAAGCAGCTCTTCAACCCTTGCTTATTAATAACAGCCAGATCAGTATATATGATTCTGTAAAATTTCTTGGTATTATTATAGACAGCAAAACAGTAAAAAAGTAGCCTTAGCCTGTTATGCAATAAGATCTGTTTCGAAGACAATCAATTTAGCATCTTTCAAATTAACATACATTTCTTTTTTCGAGTTTATCTTCGATATGACCTTCTTTTTTGGGGTTTTAGTACAGCTGCCCAATCTGATGTTATTTTGAAATTACAAAAAAGAGCAATACGGTATCTCTTTGGCGTCAGTAGAATAACACATTGCAGAAGCTACTTCAAAACTCTCTAGCTAATTGGTCTTTACCAAAGCCATCTAATTAAATACATAAAAAGAAACTTCAAAACTCACGAGATTTTATGTGTATTTATCGATCCCGTCCACTGAGTTAGTAAATAAATCTACATTATATTCCACAAAAAAATTATAAAACCATCTCTCTTTGCAACTTAAATCTGCAACTTCTTTCCCAAGTTAAATAAATTGACAAAAGCCTATCTATGTGAAAGACCATATTATCCAATTCGTTTTGGTACAAGCAAGAAAGTATTTTTATTTGGGTATCACATGCAGCAGCTTAAACTTATTACTAGTTAGTAAGCTTTTATTATGCAATTTGAAATTTAGTAAAATTTTGCAGTGGATTGTATGTTTTATTATTTTTTATTTTGTGATATTGACGAATTATATATTTTTAGTAGATTTTATTTGTTATTGTTATTTTTATTACTTTTTGTAAGCTTTGTCTATAAAATTGTATAATTTTCTGTGACAATGAAGCATATTTTTCTATCGTAATATATTCTATATGGTATCAACTTATATCTTTATAATAAAAATTTACATACATTAGTTAGTTGTCCGGCAGCTAGTCCTCCCCAATATGATGAATCTTGATATGGATCGTTGGGATAAAAAGATACCGGTGTACGTTGACCATGCCTAAAAATCTATTTAACAATATTTATTACTATATGTTGTATTATCTAGACCATAATATTTCATTATCAATTTTTTTAGTAGCCTTTATTGGACAACAGATAAATAGAAATTTATAAGATTCTGTGTTAAGTAAAAAATGAGCAATAAAACCTAGATTTCACAAAATTTTATTATTCGAAATACAGGTTAGCTTTTGGTGTCATCCGTCTAGTAAATAACACAATAACAAAGCTAAGATATATTGGTAAAATAGTCAGTGCTATCAAGACACAGATTAAAACTTTAAATACGGCATGCTTAAATGAAGTTTTGTTTTATTCCTAAATTACCAAATGTTCTAATTTGTTTAGAAAGGCTACAATGAGTATGTGCCAGAACTATGTTCAAACAATATATATGAATGAGGTATCTTGATAATAGGAATTTCCAATAGAAGTCTGCCATAGAAGTGATCTTGTTAAACATATACTATGTGGGATGCTGGATCTACAGTTACCGCAAAGCGTTTTTCTTGTGGTTTACTCTGACCATCTGGCAGTCGTAGCCAATAGTGAATAAAGCGATTGAGCTGATTCAATTGATCTGATGGACTTAATCTGTAGTAGTAGTTAAAACTATTAAAGAGTTACACATGAGTGAGGTTCTTCTGCGTTTATGCAAGTTGTTAAGAAAATAGAAACGGTATTGGATAAACTAATAATGAATTTTGGCGAATCCAGGACAAGTACGAGAAGTTTGCTGTGTTCTGTAGTGAGATTGATGATTAGTTAAAGTCACTGTTTATAACATTACCAAAGAAAAGCAGGCCCACAAAATGCAGTGATTTTAGACTAATCAGTTAGATGCTTAAGATACTTTTACAAATTATACAAAACAGAGTATTTCTTCTGTGCGAAAGTAGAATGGGTTATAAACAGTTTGGATTTAAAAATGGTCTAGAAACAGGGAAGCTCTATTTTGTATGCGTGTTTTCTTCTTTCTTCCAAAAAGATGTGAGCTTCAAAATAAAGTTTATGTTTCATCATTATCTTTGGCTCGACAATCCTCTGTGGATCTTGGCCTGCTCTAAGATTCGTCGCCATTCTATTCGGTTTTTGGCAACATGTTGCCATCTTCTGATTTTTAATATTCGTAAGTCGGTTTCTACTCCATCTAACCACCTAATTCGCGGTCGGCCTTTGCTTCTTTTTCCTACAGGTATTCCTGTGTTTAGCTTTTTAGCAATGGTATTTTCTGGCATTCGTATTATGTGTCCAGCCCATCTAAGTCGCTGTGTTTTAATGAACGTTATGATATCTGGCTCATCAAAGAGCTAATACAATTCAAAATTATATCTTCTGCGCCACTGCCCTTGGTCGTTTACAGCTCCAAATATTTTGCGGAGTATTTTACGCTCAAATATTCCCAAAAGTCTTTCATCTTTCTGCGTTAGAGTCCATGTTTCTGCTCCATATGTGAGGACCGGCCTCAGCAATGTTTTGTATATAATAATTTTAGTTCTTCTTTGAATGTTTCTTGAGTGGAAATGCTTTTGGAGTCAATAGTATGTCCTATTTGTAAGATTTATTTGTCTTTTGATTTCTTCGCTTGTTTTATTGGTAGCAGTCAATAGCGACCCAAGGTATGTGAAGTTGTCAACACGTCCAAAGGTATGACTTCCAAAGACTGTTTCTCGTTCCTCATTTGCTATCGGATCCTTTATAACCAACATGTACTTGGTTTTGTCTTCGTTGATGACTAGACCGACCTTTCCAATTCTAGGAGATATTGCTCAACATCTCGCTTGCTACTCCCTACTATGTCAATGTCATCAGCATATGCTAAGACTTGTATCCATCTATTGTAAATAGTACCGCCATCCCTAATTCGTGTATCTCGGACTGCCTTTTCTAAGGCAATATTAAATAAGAGGCAAGCCAGAGCATCTCCTTTTCTGAGTACATCCTTTATCTCAAAGGATCTAAAACTCTCTCCCTGTATTCTAACAGTGGCTTCTAAGTTAGACATTGTCAATCTCGTTAGTTGGATAAGTTTCTCTGGTATACCAAACTCATGCATTGATTGGTATAGCACTGTTCTCTTGACACTGTCGTATGCGGCCTTGAAGTCGACGAATAGGTGATGGGTTTCAATATTGAATTCTAATGTTTTCTCGAGAATCTGTCTTATTGAATGAATCTGGTCAATTGTTGATTTTTCTGGAGGGAATCCAGGTTGATATTTACCAACTATGCCCACTGTGTAAACTTGCAACCTTTCGTAGAGAATATTTGCTAGTATTTTATAAGCAGTTGATAACAGGGTTATACCTCTATAGTTGTCACACTGAAGCTGGTCACCTTTTTTATGTAACGGGCATATCACGCCTTGAGACCATTCACAAGGCATGGTCTCATTATGCCAAACAAAAAGTAAAAGCTTATGCAATGTCTGTAGTACGGCATCGCCACCATTCTTGTAGAGCTCACTGCAAATTTGATCAACTCCTGGTGATTTATTATTTTTAAGCTTTTTAATGGCTTTGGCAACGTTTTCGATGGTAGGTGGTCTTTCGTTTGGGTTAAAAGTTTATGTTTATTACATCTATTTCTGGAAGGCATTTGACCTAGTACAACACGACTGTTTACAACATTATTGGAATACATTTGTAAGCGTGCAAACCTAGACGAAAAGGGCATAAACATAAATGGAGAGCAGCTTAGTCACCTCAGGTTCGCGGACGATATAGTCCTGATAACAGACCGCATAGACCATGCCATCGAAATGTGCGAAAGACTCTACCATGCCTCTACACAAGTGGGTTTAAAGATCAATAACTCAAAAACACAAGTGATGACAAACCTTGTTCTGAGTGAGAAGATCAACATAGCTGGAACAAGTATAGAACAAACATCAGCATACAAATATCTGGGACACGAAATTCGCTTAAGTAGAGATAACCAGACCAATGAACTAATACGTAGAATAGGGTTGACATGGGCAGCTTATGGAAAGCTAAGAGATGTTTTCCAATCAGCTCTTCCCATCTGCTTGAAGAAAAAAGTCTTCGATCAATGTGTGCTGCCGGTTCTAACCTATGGTGCGGAGACGCTAACACTTACTAAGACGTCCGCAAACAAAATCCGAACAACACAGAGGGCAATGGAACGGTCCATGTTGGGATTAACCCTGAGAGACCGAATACCCAACACAGAATTGCGCCGTAGATCGGGAGTAACCGACGCAATCAAAAGAATATCAACCTTAAAATGGAACTGGGCAGGGCACGTCGCGAGAACAAAGGACGGCAGATGGACAAAACGCATTCTTGAGTGGACACCCAGACAAGATACCTTTAGGAATAGAGGACGACCACCAACAAGATGGACGGATGACCTGAAACGGACACATCAAAATTGGATGCAGGCGGCTCAGGACAGAAATTTGTGGGGTGAACTACGGGAGGCCTATGTTCAGCAGTGGACGAGTATGGGCTGAATGATGATGATGATGAACACGATACACTTTTCAATTGCCTCCGTGCAGCAGGACTTGATCACTACGATATAGGACAGCTAGACACTTACATTACAATCAAGTAGCCTCTATCTAAATAAGAGATAGTTATACTGAAAAACTATGCCTCAAACGTGGAATACGACCGGGTTATGATTGTTCACCAAGTCTTTTTATTCTGTATTCTAATGATAGACAATAGGGAGCAAGACTAAATAATCAACAACATCAAATACGCTGACGATACAGTAGTTCTTGTAGAAAATTTACGAGATCTTCAAACGTTATTAAATACAGTGAGTAAAGCAAGCAGTTGGAAAGATTGACATACATCAAGGTTTGGTTTCGCTTACTGGAGAGGAGAAAGGACGCGTAAACCGTTTTAAATACCTCAGCAGCTAGTTAAATGTAAATCGCGACTCTGATGAAGATATAATAACCAGGATCAAAATATTATTGTAAGGTTTTTATGACCTGTAAACCAGTTTTATGTGACAGAAACCTGTCGATACATATTCGCAAGAAGGTCTGGAATTGTTATTAATGATCCATTATAGTACATGGTTGTGAGACATGGACATTAAAAATTACAGTGCAAATTAGAAGCATTTGAATTGTGGTGCTATCGATGTATCCCAAACATATCTTGTGTTTCGCATACTTAGAATGAAGATATTCTTAAAATTATAAATTTAGAACGGTTACTCACAAACATTATACAGAGAAGAGAAACAAAGAATACTTCGGCCATATAAATATAGTTCTTGTTGTTCCTTCTCCTATCGGAGGTTGGCTATTATCCCAGCTATCCGTACCTTATTGGCGGCTGCTCTGAAAAGATCTACTCAGCTGCAACTATATCACACTCTTAAGATTCTTAGCCAGGAAATTCTTCGTCTTCCTATGAATATTTTACCCTTGATTTTACCTTGCATTATGAGCCTTAATATCTCATATTTCGCACCTCTGGTAATGTGGCCTAAATATTCCAGACTTTAAGTTTTAATGTGCTTTATGGCCTCGCAATCTTTTTGTAGCCTTCTTAACACTTCTGCATTTGTATTTCGTCGGGTTGATGGTATTTTTAAAATCCTTCTATAGCACCACGTCTCAAATAATTCCAACTTCTTTATATTACTCACGTTTAGTGTTCAGCTTTTTATTCCATACAACAAAGTCAAGGACACGTAGCATCTTATGGCTCTTATCCTCAGTTCCAGAGAAAGGTCTCGATTAACAAATAGTGTTTTCAGTTTTTATAAATGCCTTTCTTGCAATTTCAATGCAAGCTCTGATTTCTCTACCTTGGTCATTGTTTTCACTTACTCAGGTTCCCAGATATAGTAGTTATTCATTCTTGTACTACTCATTTTCACTCGATATCAAACCCTTCTACTGTATATTGCTTAGAAATAATCATGCACTTGGTTTTCTTATCGTTTATTTGTAGTCCATTTTATACTGACTTAATGTAATCTATTTACTAAGCGTAAACCTATAGTATTTCTAAACTGTCTGCAAAAACAGCGGTGTATTCTGCGAATCTTATGTTGTTCAAGATTTTTGCGTCTATTGATATACCCCGTTGTACTTCTGATATTGCTGCCTTAAAAATAGCTTCGCTGTACAGATTAAATAACAATTGAAAGAGCACGCAACCTTGTCTAACACCTCTTTTGATTTCTATAGTTTATGCATCGACATTGTCGATTTTAACCTTTGCTTTTTGATTCCCGTACAGATTGATAATAACCCGTATATCTTGACTATACATATTCTTATCTCTTAACAGTTTTATGATTTTCTGATATCGTAATTTATCAAAAGCCTTTTGATATTCTATAAAGCAAAAGAACATAACTTTTCTCGTTGCTAGGCCTCCTCTGAATCCAAACTGGGTGTCATCTATATCTTCTTCTATTTTTTTTTGTATAGTCTTCCATATATTGGGGATATTGATATTTTTATACATAAATTATATTATATATTTAATATTTGTTACGTTTAATATGATTGTATTATTCTTTGTGGTGATCTTAACATCGATTATCTTAAAGAGTCAAGGCAAAAATCTATATTAAAGGATTTTATGATTAGTTTTGGACTTAACTGTAAAACTACTGAACCAACTAGAATATTTACAAATAAAAACGGTGTAATTTTACGACCGAAACTGGATTATTTTCATATCAATATTCCTCAATTATACAATGAGGTTGTCGTGAACTACAATTTAGGTGATCATCTAGGACTTCATTTTAGTTTAAACATATTTGAGAGTAACAATACTGCTGCATCCCAGATAGCTACTTATAGAAACTTATCAAAGAATTGTTTGTCTAATCTTTTGTTGAGTCTTGATTCTGAGAATTTCGAAAATGTTTATACATATTCAAATGATGTAGATGATGCATATAGAGCTTTTTTGAATTCTGTCTCCTATCACATTGATACAACATGTCTTTAATATCAAAACGCATAACTACTAATACCAACAGAAAATGGATCAATACTGAAATTCTTCAGATTAGTAAAAAGTTGAAAGATTTATTTTGGCTAGCAAATGTTAGTGGTAATTCAGATTTAATGTATAACTATAAAATACAAAAGCCCAACTTTATTCGTAAGGTAAAGGATATAAAAAAAGCATCATATCAAAGTTATTTACACAATCAAAATAATAATAAAAGAAGGGAGGAGATATGAAAAACTGTGAATCGTCAAACTGGTAAAAATAAAAACAATTTTGAGTGGAGCGTTACTGATAATAATAAATTATTGATACATCCAGAACACATAGCAAACAAATTTGGTGAGTATTTTTGTACATCAGTCAAACGCACATTATTAAAACATTTCAATAACTATACCTTTAACGATTTCACAACTATGACAATTAACAACACATTTTTTTTCTGAAGTCTCACCATTTGATATTGAGAATGCTATATCTTGCTTAAACTATACCAGCTCAGTAGGTATTGATCAAATCCGCACTAAAATAATTAAATACGTTTCTTCATATATATCTCCTGTTTTGTCTCACATCATTAACCTATCTGTCAAGGATGGCAAGTTTCCAAGTGACCTTAAAACGGGAGTAATCAGTCCAATTTTCAAAAAGGGAGATCCATGTTTGGTTGATAATTACAGGCCAATCACCGTAACAAGTGTACTCTCTACGATTATCGAAAAGTGTATTTATAGTAAAATGTTGAATTTTCTGAATAAATATGATATCTTAAATAAATGCCAGCATGGGTTTCTTCCTAATAAATCTACAGAGAGTGCTTCTATTTCATTATTTAATTATATCCACGCTGGTTTGGATCGAAAAAGGTATGTGGGTGCACTCTTTTTTGACTTAACTAAGGCTTTTGACTCTATTGATATTGAAATTATACTGCATAAATTAGAAGTCGTTGGTTTTTGGGGTTATTTCTTAAACTGGTTAAGGTCATACTTACAACATCGTAAATTCCTAGTAAAAGTCGATAATAAGAAGTCATCTGTTTTTAATCTTGATCGAGGAGACCGCAAGGCTCCGTATTGGGACTCCTAATATTTCTTTTATATGTCAATGATTTGACACATTTTTTAACTGCAGACCATAAAGTTCTTTATGCAGATGATTCAACAATTGTAGTTGACGAGTCAAATGAAGTCGAACTCATATCAAAAATAAACTTAGTAGCACAGGAATTTACAACCTGGTGTAAAAGGAACTCTTTAATGGTAAATGCAAAGAAAACTATTTGTATGCAGTTCTACTCGCGCTTTAAGCCATCCCATGGTTATAAAATCACAGTTAGTTCTGAGGAAATACCTTTTAGTGATACAACATTATTTCTTGGTAGCATTCTAGAAAGTAATATGACATGGGATGAAAATGTCACTAAAGTCTACAAAACAATGAATAAGGGTTACTACGCGATCCTTTAGTTGAAAACTCTATTTAATACCAATCAATTGATAAGTGTGTATTATGCATTGGTTTATTCATATATGGCCTATAATGTTATCTTGTGGGGAAACTCTAGAAACTCTTCTACAGTTTTTACTCAAAAGAGAATTCTTAGATTGATATTACTTTTCATGCTTTATATATTTATAAGTGTATTATTCACGTCAAAACTAAATTTCAAAATTTTACCCTCAACTCTGACTTTCATAATTACCCGACAAGACATGGGAGGTTGATAAGCGTGTGTAAACACTCCACAACTCTCTTTGAAACTAGTCCTGATTTTGCAGGATCTAAATTTTATAATTGTTTGCCACTTAATATAAGAAATGAAAGCAATATTCAAAAATTCAAAAATAAATTAAAAGCATGCTTGATCCAATTATGCGTTTACAACCTAAATGAATATTTTGACTTAATAAAAGACTACAGAGAATAAGGACCGACGGGTTCAGAGACGCTCTATATTGCATATCTTTGTTTTTTATTTTTATATTAATCTATATTTTATTGATTTTGTTTTATGTAATTGTCGTATATAACTTGTTGATCATGCTTTATGTACTATATGACTTGTCCTATATCACAATGTGATCTGATCTGGGATTAATAAAGAATATTCTATTCTATTCTATTGTATTCTATTCTACTATTTTGAGAAATATTATAAGTGTGTAGCTTATTAAGAAAATTATTCTGTACTGGGAGCATTCTGTAAATAAATAGAGGACCCAAATACCATTTACTTTACGTTATAATACGATTTGTTTCGATTGGTCGAAACAAGCTTTCATGACTGCGTAATATTAGACAATGGTGTGGTACCACAGTAGAAGAACTATTTCGTGAAGCAGCCGATAGAGAACGGTTTCAGGAAATTGTAAACATGATGATGGCCTACGTCTAAAGAAGGACACTGCACCTAAATAAGTAGATGGTGAATTTTATTTACTTCTAGTGCAAACTTAAGTGGAGATTAGTGAGACCACGTAAATTATATAGTTGTTAGGGTTATGAAATAAACAGGGCGACTAGACAGAGAGCAAGAATAAAGCGAAGACGTTCTAGTTTTTAATTGAATAAGGCAGATAAAACGCTATCGAGAACGGTTTTGATGGAGAAACATATGGTAAAGTACCGACTTAGGGTTTTTCTACAATGCCCTCTTTAGATGATTTTGGTGTATAAAAGACAAACACTACCATCTTCCAATAATGGCGTTTATTTAAAAATCATCTATCTGCGTTATAAAGAACTTGTATCTTTAGTAACTTTAATTAATGTAGTTTAAGGTAACACTTATACTATATATTTTATTTAGTCAGAGATTTAATTTCTATAGACGAGACGAACAGATTTGTGGACCTTAAAATATGCAAAATAGTTTGGAATTAACACGAATGAAGCCATACCCAACGTGTAGAAATTTTAAATTGGAAATGAGACTACGTTCCATTCGATTTAACTATCACTTTAACTATCATGGACTAATAAAATAACAAAAAAAAGTTCTGCAAAGGGTTGGTAAAGAAACAGAACTTATTACCGCTATACAAAAGAAAACCTTAAGGGACCAAAATATGAAATATTAAGACTCATAATACAGGGAAAGATGTAAGCAAGAAGATTGGTTGGCCGAAGTCAAAATTATTAAGTGAAGAATCTACGTGATTAGTCGATCAGGGATTGCAGATCGATTATTTGTTTATAGCAGCAAGTTTAAAAATAACAATAACCACTATGATTGCCAACCTCCGTAGGTAGACGGCACTCTATGAAGAAGATGTAACTTTGTCAATCGAAAAATCTCAGCAAAGGACAGAGCAGAATGGCACAGAAAGCTTGATAAGGTCAAGGTTCTCTAATAGTTGTATCGCCATGATTATTTTGATAATGAATACACATACAAAAATAAACAAAGCGTCGCCAAATTATAGGTTATTTTAAATAAATAATTAGGTACATACCTGTATCACAGCTAATAATTCTGCATGGGCACCCAAAAGGGTGAATGAAGCTAAGAGAACGAATGTGGCTATGAGATGCATCTTTCAGATAGCATACTGTCTTAATTCGCAATTGCACCTATATATTGTCTTTTGATTTACCTTTATCAAATTTTATGACCATGCAATTAAATTATTATATTAAAGCCATTAAATAGTTTTATCTGTTTTATATATTTATTTACATTAAACATGTGCTTTCTATGTTTCTGTATTGGTACTTAAAAAATAGTAATGATATAATGCCAACGTGCAAGAAAGTAATAGTTAAATATTATTTTAAGATTTTCTTTAAGTTATCCCTAAATTATGTGCATCTGTTGTAGTGATTAGATTATTTGAGAACTATGTATTATTTAATTCGATAATAAAAATGTAAGGCACGAAGTGCAAAAAAAAAGTAAACAAAAATGTTGTTAAAGAATTTCGATTTCATATTTCTGTTGTTTTTCATTCTCGCTTTTAATTCTTTTAACCCGAATTATTCTTATCAACCGGCGGTATCATCTAAGAAACTACAAACTTTTGTTTATTTGAGCATTTATTAGTGAGTTAGCGTTATGAAGAGCAATAGCTGGAGTAACCATCAGAGTTATAATTTTTATGGCACTTTTAATTTGCAAAAAACGACTCTTTTTGATTATTAAAAGAAAGCTTTAATTTGAACTATGCCGAATTAAATTTAACCCAATATTTCATGAAAAATTAATGATTGAATGTCTAAAATAGACAATTTCTATTTCTCATTATGTGCCGTACATTTTCTTACCAGGCAACTGAAGTCCTGTCCCTTCTTTTTCTTTGTTGTGATATGTTATATACAGCTTTCTTTCTTAAGTCTTTATTCTGTTCGCGGATAAGCTACCTTAAGATAACAGGAATATAGCGGAGATGCGCTGTCCTGAGTTTTTGCATTGGGTTGGAAAACCATGTTGGGGTTTTATTACCCGGGACCTCCACATAAAGAGCATTTGACAACTGATTGTTGTGCCTCTATAGCGCATCAGAGTGCTATAGGGGGGAAAGGGATGGTCTAGAGCATTGGAGCACGGTGGGGTGACTCCTGTTTATACTCGAGTTAACACACCTTGCTCCAATGAATTGTTACACCCGATCGTAATTCTTAGAGGTGAACATTTCTCATAGGCTGGGTTTAATTAAATTGCTTGCTTACTCTTCATTCCGTCGCTTCACGTGTCCATACCACACCAGTTGTCTCCTTTAAATTCTGTATACACTGAAATATTCAGTATTTGTCCTCCTTCTAATATCTTCATTCCTGATATGATATTTTTAGATACACTACACGCTTTCCTTAGAAAATCCATTTCTACTATTCTTATTAGTTTTCTATTTTTTTTTTCGTCACCTGCCAAACTTCTGCCCCATAAGTCATAATAGGCTCCACCAAGGTTCGATAAATTGTCAATTTCGTTTCTTGTCTAATATCTTTAGACCATAGTAGAGAGTTTAGAATAATTACCGCTTTTTTCCTGCTGCGTTCCGAGATCCGAGATATTTATATTCATTGCATCATTTTGTGTTTCTAATTTCTAACTTTGGATTTTCTTCATCATCTCCTATTTTAAGATACTCTATCTTTGACATATTCATATTGAGGCCCCATTTTTTATATTCTTTCTTTAGTTTTCTAAACATGTAGTCTATGTCTTCCACATCATTCGCTACGACTATCTGATCATCTGCGAAAAATAAAGTTGTTAGATATTTACCACCGCTTACGTCTATTTTCATTCCGGAAACTTGTTTCTCCCACTGCTCTAGTAATGATTGAATATATAGTTTAAGTAAGATCGGAGATAGACAACATTCTTGTTTAAGCCCCTTTTTTTATTGTAAATGATTCAGATATAATATAAAATGTCCTTCTCTAACGATACTTCTTACATTTTTGTATATATTTGCGATAGCATTCACATACTCTCTACTGAGACCTACTTTCGTCAATGTTTGAAACAGTTTTTTAAAAGGTACCGTATCGTATGCCTTATCTAAATCTACAAACAATAGGGGGGTAGATAGATTCCTTGCCTTCCGTTTTTCGATTACCTGCTGCAGAACGAATATACCATCAGTGCACGATCTTCCTGCATGAAATCCATTTTGTTCTATATCTTCGTAGTCTGATTCTCTTCTTTGTTTTATTATTCGACCGTACAACCTCTCCACTGAGATGATAATAGTTATTCCCATATAATTAGAGCAGTTGCGTTTATCCCCTTTCTTGAATATTAAGCTGATGTATCCAACATCCCAATCATCAGGGATATTTTGTCCTTTTAAGCATTTGTAAAATAGTTAAACCAACATCTCATGTAATATTTTTGGTCCATACTTTACTAACTTAATTGGGATGTCCCCAGGTTCTGCTGCTTTACCGTTTTTAAATCTCTTGAGGGCATCGCGTACATGCCTTTAATATCTCAAAATCAGAAAATAGTTTTAGGTGTTTATTAAGTATCCAGCATACACGTAACGCTGCCTCTGTGGACATTTCTTGGTCGCTTTTCAGAAACTTAAACCCTTAAACCCTTATATTTTGCTGATTAAATGGTTAGTATTTAGATATATATTTACTTAGTTAGTTATTACATCTTAGATCTAAAGTTTTTGATGCATGCATTATTCCGATATTAACTTATGCGGCACAAACATGGACAATCACAAAAAAGAATATGAATATACTTAGAGTCACTCAACACGCGATGGAAATAGCAATGCTAGGTATATCACTTAAGGACAAGAAAACAAACACATGAATAAGACAGAAAACCAAAGTCACCGATGTGGTGCAAAAATCATTAAAGTTGAAATGGGAATACGCTGGACATGTAGCTAGGAGCGATCTAAATAAATGGCACAGATCAATTTTAACCTGGAGACCATACCAACACAAAAGACCCAGAGGCAGGCCTCCTATGAGATGGACAGATGATCTGAAAAGGACTGCCGGGAAAAATTGGCTACAAGTAGCGTACAATAAAAAACAATGGAAAGGAAGACTTGAAGAGGCTTATGTTCAGATGTGGACGTGAATGGCTAGACGAAGAAGAAGAAGAAGAATTCAGATATATATCCATATTTACGATATATATCCGTAGTATACAAATAATGGCATCTTCTTCTTCTAGTTCCATGACCGTTATCGATCGTTGGATATCATGTTGGCTACTATATTCGCTATCGTGACTTTATTGACAGCAGCTCTAAATAACGATGTAGTTGATTTTCCATACCATTGCCTTAGATTTTTCAGCCATGATGTTCTTCTTCTACCAGGACCACGATTACCTTGGATCTTTCCCTGAATGATCAGATGTAAAAGATCATATTTTTCAGGGTGTCTCATAATATGACCGAAGTATTCCAGCTTGCGTTTCTTTATTATATTGACCAGTTGTGTTGTTTGGTTCAGCCGTCTAAGGACCTCCTCATTTCTAACTCTGTCGACCCAGCTTATTTTCAGTAGTCGTCTGTATACCCACATCTCAAAGGCTGTCAAGCGTTTAAGCATAGCCTCAGTTAGGGTCCACGCTTCTACTCCATACAGCAGGACAGGAAAGATGTAGCAAGATATCATACGAACTCTAAGGTCAATGCTAAGATCATGACTGCAAAGTACGTTTCTCATTTTTACAAAGGCAGCTCGGGCTTGTTCTATTCGGCTTTTAATTTCTGCGGTTGGATCCCAGCTCTCATTGATATTACTGCCGAGATACACGAGTTTCTCTACTCTGTCCAGTGTGGCATCTCCGACTTTTATACCGTCATCATGTATATAATTTTGTTTGCTAACTATCATATATTTAGTTTTCTTAACGTTGAGTTTTAGTCCATACTGATCACAAGTCTGTTTTATTTTGTTCATTAGATTTTGAAGGTCTTCTCCGCAATTGGCAAGGACTAAGGTATCGTCGGCATATCTAATATTGTTGACGGTTACTCCATTCACAATAATACCTTCGGTTGTCTCCATTAAGGCTTCCTTAAATATTTCCTCCGAATATAAGTTAAAAAGTAAAGGCGACAATATACAGCCTTGTCTCACTCCTCTTTTTATATTTATTTCATCCGACAGTTCTTGTTCAACCTTTATTCTTGCCACTTGATGCCAGTATAGATTTGTAATTATTCGTAGATCTTTATCGTCCAATCCAGCTGTTTCCAATATTTCTAGCATTTTGTTATGTCGGACTTTGTCAAAAGCTTTTTCAAAATCGATTGCACAAATATACACATTTTGATTTATATCTCTGCATCTCTGTACTAGCACCTGTATACTAAACAAGGCTTCTCTTGTACCCAAGCCACTCCTAAACCCAAATTGAGTATTGCTAATTCTGTCCTCTAACAGCGTATAAATTCTGCTGTGTATTACTCGCAGAAAGATTTTCAAAACGTGACTCATCAGACTTATTGTCCGATAATCACCGCATGTCTTTGGACGATGTTTCTTAGGTATTGTGACAAATGTCGACTTTAACCAATCAGTTGGTAATATCCCAGTGTCATAAATTCTGTTAAAGAGATTACACAGAGCTTTAATTCCATTTTCTCCCAAAAACTTTAGTATTTCAGCACTTACTTCATCGGGGCCAAGTGCTTTTCCATTTTTTGCCGTTTGTATTGAACGTCTTACCTCACTTTCTGTTATAGATGGACCTGATATAGCAATCGGTGTATAGTGTTCTACTCTCTCATCTTCAAATAATTCAGAAATGTAGTTTTCCCATTCTTTTAACTTTTCATTGATGTCTAATATTCTGTGTCCGTTTCTGTCTTCTAAACTTTGGGATACTTGTTTCCATTTGTTTCCAGCGACCTCTTTCAATTTCTTGTGCAGATGAAATGTATCGTGTTTCTTTTCATATTGTTGAATTTCATTACATTCTTTACTATGAAATTGTGTTTTCGCGTGTCTTATCTTCTGCCTGATTATTGCGTGGATCCTCTTGTATTCGTTTTTATCTTTATTTCTGACTTCTCTTCTTTGATCCATAAGTCTCAGTATTTCTTCTGTCATCCA